CCTTGCACTTGGTTGGGTCATCCCCTTGTGTGGTTACTGGGCTCTCTGAGTTAGTCTCCTTACCCAAACAATGCTTGAGCTCTCTACAGAGAGCAGTGAGTCTCTCTCCAGCCTACCCTCACTGCCCTCTGCAGGTCTGGGCAGAGCAATCCCTCCACAGAGACCATAGAGATGTTTATTCGGAGGTCTGGTTTCAGCTCTGTTTTCAGCTAGTTCTCAATATACCTTTGGAGAACCAGCTGCTTCTTGCCCTCCAAGCCCCAAGGCCAGACCATCACCCAGCGCTCTGGCCATCTACCGCCTTCTACATCCTGCCTTCACCAGGGTGACTCTCTCCTCAAGGCTGCTACCCCCATCACAGATCATTACACGAAACTTGGATGGTTTTCTGTTTTCTCGAATGTAGAACTCCTCAGGCCTGGAAGACATTTAACCATCTGTTGCCGTTTGCTGTTCTGAGGTTTTTCACTTGGTATGACTTTGGTCTCTCTAACTAAGCAGCAGGTTCTTCCCAGGCCTGTCCTTTGCTGCTTCCAGTGGGAGGTTGGAAGGGCTGGATGAATGCAAGAATGACTGAGTGGTGATGCCTCCAAGCCAAGCCATGTAGTCTTGAGAGGTTAAACTGCGGTGTGTCCTCAAATGCTTGTTCTCATCCTGAGTTCTGAATTCCGGGCAGAGAGTCTGCCTGGGGCCCTGCAGCTCCCCATCCTTAGGATCCAGATGAATAAAGACAGTATTGCCCCTCCCACCCAAAAAAAGTGAGACTAGCCTTTGATGTCTAGAAACTCCATCTTGAGGACCTACTGTGTGCTCATGCCTGTTGAGAGGGGCTGCAGAGGAGGAAGAGAAGGAGGGGCCTGATTACTGGGTTTCTGCCCTCTGCCAGTTCACAGTCTAGATCAGTGGTTCTCAACCTTCTGGCCCTTTAAATACAGTTCCTCATGTTGTGACCCAACCATAAAATTATTTTCTTTGCTACTTCATAACTGTAGTGTTGCTACTGTAATGAATCGTAATGTAAATATCTGATATGCAGGATGGTCTTAGGCGACCCCTGTGAAAGGATCGTTCGACCGCCAAAGGGGTCGCGACCCACAGGTTGAGAATCACTGGTCTAGGTGGAGAAAGAAGATATACAGGCAGGAGAGTCAGAGCAGGTCTGAGGGTGTGTGGCAACAGCCAGGGCTGTGGAGTGTGGGTCAGTGGGTACCAGAAGGAGGAGAGCGATGGTAGCTCAGCTGGAGGAAAGCTGAACACAAAGAGGGCTTCCTTCCTCATGGAGGAGCAGGAGCAAAGGGAAGTGAGGAACAGGAAGCAATGGAGAAGCCTCCATAACTACACCACCTGCGCCAAGATCCACACCACAGGGGGCTTCCTGATACCCCAAAATAAATCAGCAACACAATGTAACCCCAAATACAGAGAGAAAATGAGAAGCAATTGTTTCCAGCTCCCACTTCCACTTGCCAACCTACTCCCTCTCAGTGGATGGAATAATTGTGGCCACGAAGTAGCACTTGGGTAAGTTTTAACGTTTAAATGTTACAGTAGCACTTTGCCCCCATCTTTCCCTAATTACATTTCTCTTTGGTGATCTAAAATTTAAAAAAATATATTAGCTCAAGTCTCTCAAGGGCAAGGAAACCAAAGAACAAACCTAACCCTTGTTCCTTACAATTTTCTCAGGGGCCCTGCTTCTTTATTACATTAGTTTGAGACATGTGTGTTATTATTTTATCCCCAATACTCTCCTGGGGCAGAAAGATTGGAGCCTAAATGATGCAGCTCTGTACCTTTAAGAGATCAATGCTTGGGCAGAAGCTGCTTCTGCTGCTGTTACACAGGGTAGCTCAGTTATATGGAGCCTTGTGTCCTGGTTGCTTCTGTCCCAGCAACCTGGGGGGAGGTGGGGCATTTCACCAAATACCTGTCATTGAGCTGAGAGGTGAGGAATGTGTTACCCCTAAGGGGAGACAGCCCAAATCCAAAATAAGCCATCCTCAGGTGGGAGAGGTGGAAGGGTAAGGAGCATTCACCTAGGAAAGGGCTCTCCACAGCTTGGTGTCCACATGTGGAGAGACACAGGGAGTGGGTGATGGTGCAGGGGGAGGAGGTATAGTCCTGGAGGGAGTTGGCCTTATGCCATCTGGAGTTTGCACAAGCATCTGAAATAACCAGATGCCCCCTTTCATTAACAACTCCACTCTCCCACCCACTCCTGCCCGGGGACTGCTTTTATTTATGCATTGACTTTTAGTATTAATAATAATATAAATAATGAATAATTTATTTAAAGGGGGGCCTCCCCTGCACAGGCCCCTCCTTTCTCAGCCCTACTCAGCTGGCTCCCTTCGCTTCCCCTTGTTCTTGCTTCACTTTGAGGAGGGAAAGGGGCAGGGAGAGAAAGAGAGACTTCAAGTAGGAATTATTCTCCTAAACTATTGCTTTGGCAGAAACTATATTCCACTCCTATTGTGAGATCCTGGGTGGTAAACACCAGGGCCACAAGATGATGCTGGATGAGGTCTTTTGGACAAAGTTACTGGCCTCTGCTGATGTGTCCTGAAAGAAAGGGGAGGAGAAGGTCTCAGCCTGGTGTATACACACACACAAGCAGAGTGTGGCTACAAGTAGGGTCTATGTACATACACATCCACACAAGCACCCTCAGCCCTGACAACACATACCTTCTAGCCACATACTCAGACCCTCTGTGTGCCTACAGGGACATGCTTCTTCTCATTAGAGCACTTCACAGGCACACCAAGCACACAGGCACATGGCAGAGAGCCTCTCTGTGTGAGTTTCTGTTTGATTCCATCAACTTGGATGATTCTTAGGCCATTATATAACACTGGATAATGTAAGCCCGGGAACCAAGTTATGAATCAACTATACTTACACATGATTACATCAAGCAAAGGCAGGAAAATCTTTAAATGAAAAGATGCAGTTTCACAATTACAGAATCGTACTTGCTGTGCGGTTTGGGCCCAGGATCCTCCGGGAGAGGTGTCCCAGGTGGGCTGTGGGCTCTGGGCCTGGGGCTGCAAACCTCGGGGCCTCCTCAGGCCTCCTCCTGGCGCTGGAGAGCTCTGCGCTGTGGTTGTACCAAAGGGTCTTGGTCTCGGGTTTTCCGGCAATTGGGGTCTCGTTTCTTTAAATAAAATTTTAAGCATATCGTCTAGTAACGTCATGTAATCCGAGGGTAAGAAAAGAGAAACCCAAAACACTCAAAAGGGGTGTTGGGGACCAGGCTAGGGTCAAGTCAGCAACTCCGCCCCGAAACCCCACTAGGAAGCGGCGCGTTATTTTAATTAGCCCGGCTCTGAAGCCAAGAGGCTGCCTTGGAAAGGCAACTGTGAGAGAGGATGGGATGCGGGTTAACATCATTAAAATGAAAATCTGCTCTCCCAACCCAAGTTTACCACCACATTCACCCCCAGAGGCGGGGCTGTTTGCACCGGCTCCCGCGCCAGCCACTCCCTCTCCCGCGCAGCCGAGGTTCTGTCCCCGGCGGGTCTAGCGGGGAACCCGGCGGAGTCCAGGCTGGGCGGCCGGACCCCTGGCCCTCGTCCGCAGACGCGCTCCCAGCCCCGCGCTCTGAAGCCGCAGGTTCCGCAAACGAAGCCCGTGGGGCCAGCGCACGGCGCGCGAGTCTGGGTCCAGTTGCAGCCCAAAGAGCGATTCGGGGACTTTATTTCTTTCATGGTCGATTAAGGAAAAAAAGAATATTTTTTTTTTCTTTCAATTAGAACCAGTAAAGTGGACGAGGGCAAAATCAAGCCGGTCCCAAAATCAAGCACTGCCTCACTGGCCACCGCACCCGGAGCCTACTACCTTCCCGGCGGGCGAGCGGGCCGAGGCGCCAGGCTCCTACCTTCTTCCCGCCAGCGGCCGGCCGGACCAGCCGCCGTTCTTCGGGGAGGGGGAGGCCGTCCGGGACGGAAACACCCACCTCCAGCCTTTGCCGGCGGGCTGGCCCCGAGTCGCTATTCCCCGTCCCCCCAGAGCGGCCCCAGTGCTCCCCAGTCCGGTTCTCCCAGGTGGCTCGGGCGGCGGCAGATGCCGTGCGGGAGGGCGAAGGTTTGGGGCTGCTCTGGCAGGTTGGGAATGCGAGGGAAAAAGCGGAGACGGAGAGACGGCGCGCGCGCGAAAGAGAGCCCTTGTCTATAGATTTATCCACATAATATATATTTATGTAGCTTTTTTTTTCTCTCGACACTGATCAATGCGCACTCGGATCTCTGGGCGGACTCCCTCCAAGCCGGCTCCCTTTTTATAATCTAAATAAATAAATAAAGGGAACCAGATGGGAGAGAAAAGCGCCCATTCCACCTTCGCCGCCGCCCCGCCCGCCATCCCTGCCTTTGCTTTGCCCGCCTGGCGCCCTAAAAGAGCTCGGTGGATAATGCCCCCCTACATACCCACACGAAAATGAAAACCTATGTTTTTGAAATACAAAAAGAAAAAGTTGCACCTGCTGCTATTACCCAAAAAAAAAGGCAAAGAGGCCAGCAGCCCCGTTTCTAACGGGAGCCCGCTCTCCGTGGCCGCCGCGCCGGAATCTCAGCGCCTCCCGAAGAGCCATGCGCCTGGCGCTATTTATAGCCGGGGGCTGTCCGGACCGTACCACCGCCGCTCGCTGGGGCCGCCGACGGGGGAGGCGCGCGGGGCGGCACCGCCCCAAGCCGCCCTGCTCCGGGCCGCCGCCCGCCGCCGCGCGGGAGTCCGCCCGCCCATAGCGCCCTCCCCGGGCCCCGCTTCCCCCTCCTTCTCCAGGGCACACTCGCAGCCCCCACCCCTGGTCTGACTGGGAACTTGAACCGGTCCAGCCTGTTTAAACGGAAAGGACAGAGATCCTGTCTGTTCAATGTAAAAAAAAAAAAAAAAAAAAAAAAAAAAAAAAATCAGATCAGACCGCCGAAAGAGAGAGAAGAGAGGAGAGGGAGGGAGAGAGCGGGGGGGAGAGGGGAGAGAGCGCGCGAGCGCGAGCGAGCGAGAGAAGAGAGGAGAAAGAGAGAGAGAGCAGAGAGCGAGGTATAGAGCAACCGAGGGGGAGAGAACCCGAGTGTGTGTATGCGTGTGCGTGTGTGAGCGCGAGCGAGCTTGCGAGGAAGAGGAGCGAGAGAGTGCGAGCGAGAAAGAATAAAAGGAAAGAAGATTTTTCTCTATGTATATAAAGATGGCCACGTTAGCAAACGGACAGGCTGACAACGCGAGCCTCAGTACCAACGGGCTCGGCAGCAGTCCGGGCAGCGCCGGGCACATGAACGGATTAAGCCACAGCCCGGGGAACCCGTCGACCATTCCCATGAAGGACCACGATGCCATCAAGCTGTTCATTGGGCAGATCCCCCGCAACCTGGATGAGAAGGACCTCAAGCCCCTCTTCGAGGAGTTCGGCAAGATCTACGAGCTTACGGTTCTGAAGGACAGGTTCACAGGCATGCACAAAGGTGAGTGCACCTTATCCTCCTAACTTTGCTGGGGAGGAGAGGGCGGGCGGGCTGGCCGGCCGGCCGCGGACGAACCGGAGACGGCGCGAGAGGCAGCCTCGGGCGGACGCCGAGGAAGGAGGCGCTCGGGCAGCAGAGACCAGGACTGGGGTGCGTGGGGAGCTGTTTGCTGGGGCAAGGCTGGGTTTTGGGAAAGGAGCTGACAGAAGCGGTGCCGTAGGGAGAGCAACTGGAGCAGAAGAGGAAGAGAAAGAGAGAAGGTCGAGGAGGAATTGGGCTTGTATTTGGGGGTACGGCGACTTGAATGATTGGGATGGGGACAGCTGCACCGCCGAGCCCGGGACGCTGAGCGGCAGACTGGCAGGCGCGCAGCCGGCCAGGGACCGAGGGTGCTGTCCATCGCCGTGGTGCTGAATATACTGAGGAGATTCGGTGGTCTCCGCTCAGGGCCAGAGTAGCAAGAGCGCAACCGTCTAAAAAGGAGGGAGGTGACAAATTCAGAGATATTTTTATTTCGCTACCAATTTAACAGTAAACTCTCCCTGTCTATCTGTGTTTCTCAATAATCCGGTTGTGGTGTGAGTGGTGGGGGAGGGGGTGGATATTTGAAGGAAGGAGGGACAAAACCTAAGACAAGAATTAGCAAGGAGCCAGCCATCCCCTGGGTGGTATAAGGAGTTGGGGAAGCCTGGATGATCCCCCCTTCTCAGGAAAGTGGGGTTTTAGAGGGAAATTTGTATGTGCACGATATGCATTTTAAAGGGTGTAGCCTAATTATCCCAAACTCACCATGCAGAGAGGTTTATAGTACATTATTTCTCTCCCTTGAAGCAATCAATGCTAGTGAGTGCTTGGGGGAGGGGAGACAGAATAATCAAAGAATTAAAACCTAGCAACTTTTTAGGAAAGTGGTCATGGGAATTGTCTGCAGCCTGCCTGTTTTTCTCCTTGTTTTATTATCGTTAAGGCAGAGCCCCAAATGTGTTCAGTTGTAGGATGTGTGTGGGTGGCTGGTGGGTGATGAAATTAGCCCAGTGCTCTGCTCCCTAACAGTAATGTATAGGATGTGCAGCAGGGATTCATTGGGGCTGGAGCTGTGTGGGCAAGTTAAATGCTTTCTGAGAGAGACTGATCGTCAGGCAGAGAAGGAGCACCGTTCTAAGGAAGTTGTAAGGGATGTGTATGGATGTTCTGTTTTTAATAAACAGTAGTATGGAGAGCCACTGAAGATGCTGTGTTAGAGCTGGTGGTTTTAATGATGAAAACACACACACACACACACATGCACACGCACACCCACCCACACAGAGAGAGCAGCCTCATCCTTGGCCACAAATGGGCTATGAACAGAGCTGATCCTCCGGCACATTAGGTGCAGAGCTGTCTGGCTCTCTAAGCAGCAGTGGTTTTCACTATCACAACCGCCCTCCTTCTCCAGCCCTCCCTTCATCCGAATACTAAGCACAGCTCCAAACTCTTCATAGTTGGAGTCCCAGAGAGCAGTTTTTATTGGCTTTAGCATCTTCCAGCTTGCCTGCTGAGGAGTAAATCTTAAAGTTAATGGCATGTTGAGCCGCACAAAACCACGGCAGAATGGAAATATACTAGGTTTGTTGGGGTGGGGTGAGGGAAGGGGCTGTAATGGATAAAGAAACCAACCTTTATCCAATATGGAGAAAATGTTCAGAAGAGAAACTGCAAAGGTGGACTGGGGAGGCAGTGTTTGAAATAATATTTGTTTCTTTCCCCCCCTCCCCCAAATCAACCATATCTTTGTAGTTTTTCCTTTTCCAATCAAGCTCCATAGATGCTAATCAATGTTTGTATCACCTTTGTCATTCTAATATGTCCCCAGATTTTAAAATAGTAATAATGAAAATTAAAAAGCATAGGTAGGGAAATTCTTTACCCATCTTAATCATCAGTTCTTGTGACAATTTGAGATTTTTAAAGTTAGAAAAAAATCAAAACCCACTAGAGGTGAAAGACAGTTGTGAAGACCCGGGCTTCCTATGAGATCTGGATTGGAGCACTTTATTTGATGCTTTCTTTCAAATGAAGATAAACTTTAACAATATTTCTTGCTTTCTTCTCATGATCCCTTCTTGCTGGTATCATCACTGTCTCTGATGTTATTTGGACTCCCTTGTACTGTAGCAAAAAAGTAGAATTATCATCATTTGCATCAGGAAGGTAGAGAAGCTTATGATACAGTTATATTGTGTGCATCATCTCATATATATACATACACATACCTGGCCAGGATTCCTAGGACAAGCAAAACTTCATTTTCTAAATAATTCTTCCCCTAAACTGACTCAGTCTGTGGCAGGCAGGCCCATTGGCCCGGCATGCTGGGTGCCTCGTTGTCGCAGCTCACCCTTCAGAGCCTGAGCATATATTTTTTCCTATGAAACTTCCTGCCTCTCCTTCACTTGGATTTTTATAGGCAAGGTTGGGGCACAACATCCCAACAGTGCCTGAAAGCTCTGGGAGAGCTAAATAAATGAGACAGTTTCCGAGGTCTGTTTTATTCAGTCCAAGAAGAGTTTGAACTCCTTCTTCAGTGATACAGCCTGATTTATTAGCTAATCCTGATAAAATAAGCCTCCGGCCACCTTAAAAAAAAAATTACTCGCCTGCCATTGGTGATTAATTACTGTTAAGTCAAAAAGCATGATGAGGCTTGAAGAACAAGGGTTGCATTTGATTTCTAGATTTTCCCCAACTCTAAATTAACAACATGAGGTTCTCGGGATAGAAACATGCCTTTGTTAAGCCTGCTTTCAGGGCATATTTGTGGCTCTTTCTCTCCCCTTCTTGAATTTCTAACTTCTAATGAATCATACTAGGATAAAATTGAGGGACAACACAGGATAGTGGCTTCCAGTGTGGATGGCGTATGTATATTATTGGTTAAGAAAAAAAGTAAAAAATAGATTAAATGCATGCGATTTCAGGTGGATATCCATTTGTTGACCACCTGCCATTTCAGGTGACTAAAGATGGAAGGAGTTCTAAGGGTTAAGGGAATACCTACCATGTGTAGAGTGAACCTTAAAAGGCAATTACTCCAGTCAAATTGGGAGTCTGTGGAGGAGGGAGTGGGTGGGTGTTGTGGAGCAAACCCAGCCATATCAGAGAAAGGCTGTTGAGCTGGGGAGGCAGCAAATAGCAGTTGTGGACTAAGGTAATTACTGTAAAGGTAAATTTACCCCCTGGAGACCAGAAAGCAATTGGGCAGGGGGAGATCTGGGTGCTAAGCTGAGAGAGAAACCAGGAAAAAACCCAGGATTGCAATTTGAAGAAACAACACCCAAAGAAGAAAACCCAATGTAATGCAAACTCTCATGGCTAATTCTGAGTCTTCTCCCCTCCCCACCCCCCCCATTAGAAGCACTTTGAGGAAGATTGTTTTTCCAGACTCCAAAGAAAAAGACATTGTACTATTGATTTAAGAGGAGAGAGGCAAACTCCCGGGGTAGCAGCAGAAGTGAGCTCAGGACTAACTTTGCCCCTTCCTATAGAATTGTTCTCCCTTGAAGAAGGGAACAGGTCACACACTGGTCTAATTCTTCCCTTCTCTCACATTTTATTCATTTCTCCTCCTTTTATTTCCTGGAGAACAAATGGAGCCAGTGACTGAAAATAGATACACACACACACACACACACACACACACATATCCATGACTGCTAACACACACAGCAGATCACGCATGAAGAAGCCCGCAATCCATTCATAACTTTGGTCTTGTCTAACAGGATAAAAGGCAGCAAAGACTGAGTTACTGGGAGACATAAAGACTAGTGCTCTCTGGGTAGCCATATTATAATGCATTATCTTTGAAGTCATTTAAGTCCAATTTAAGAGATATTTAGTATAATATTTATGAATTAATGTAATCTAAACATAGGGCTGTCCCCAAAGGTTTAAGCAGCCTTTACTACTGAAGTGTGCTTGTTCCTGGAGCCTGCAATGCATTTTTATCTAAATAGCCAAGTCCACATTACAGTCCCTCTAGTTAACCAGTTAGAACACATCTGTGGCCTGGGTAACCACTCTGCATTGAGGTCATCCTCCGCTGCAGGGAGGAAAATCTAGTCTACTGGCAGCCCTGGGGGCTCCCAACCCAGGAGCCACAGCAGCAGAAACTTTCGCCCCTCACACTTTCATACAACATCCAGAGGGAGGGTGGGAACAGAGTGATGGAACAGAGTGTGGACTGAGCTCTGGAGAGCATATCATTTTAAAATGTACTCATCACCAGATGCACAACCTCTCAGTTCAGCGGTATCTGACTAGGAAATGCCTGAAGCCCCATGATTTGGGGTGTTGCTGGGAGAAAGGGAAAGGGCAAGGGCTGTGATTATGTTTCGGTGATTTGTGACTATCTTCACAAAATTATGTCCTGTGTTTTCACGTAAGATGTAACAAGTCTCGGAACATTGAGTTTCCACCGCTTGACTTTGGCCGAGCTGGCTAGTTGTTTTCCTGAAATAGGTGAACTAAAGCCGGCGAGGCTCTGGTGTCCGTTCCAAAGGACTCCACGAGGCAGTGATGCTGAGGCATCCTCATGAGCATCAGTTCAATTAACATGAACTTTTTAAAAAAATTACTTTGAAAAATAAAAATTTATTTCTCTCCAGGGAAAGACTGGTAGAACAGCTGGGCACACACCCATAGTTGTTAAAAGAAAGATGTGCCTTGTGAGAAAGAGATATGGAAAATGGGATAGCTGTGATGAGAAAAGAAGAAAAATATTTTTTTAAAAAAACAAGTTTCACTAAAGAAAATAAGCAATGCCAATCATTAAAAAGCTAAAGTAAACAAAACCAAACAGGTCCATACAAAACCTTCAAATTTCAAGTGTTGATAAGTATCCTGCTTGGGAGCAAAGAAAAAAGTATTGGGAAATGACCCCTTTATTTAAGAGACTAGTGGTTATTTGCTCCTTGTGCACAATTTCATTTATCTTCTAAACAGACTTCCTCAGAATC